CCTTACATCAGTTCTGGATGACAAAACACCGCAGCTAGCCGAACAAACGTTTAACATTAACAACTGGGGCTTCGGAAATATTGAACGAAAGCTGCTGATCGATATCAAAGCCAGAATAGACTCATTGTTTGATAAAGGTATAACGCTTTATAACTCTCAATAAAGTCCATGAGCAGTTTAAGATAAATCTCACTCCTGACTTTAGATCTTCGTAAAATTTAACTCCATTTTGATTTGATTCTTCAGTCACCCGACCTCCTTGTCCAGAAGGTTGGGTTCTTCATGCAAAGTCTTGTTTTCTCATCATCAACATTCCAACCCTGGAGCGGAGCGACGCTCGGAGAACTTGCCAGAATCTGGGAGGAGACCTCGCCATAATCAGGTCCGCTGAGGAAAATAACTTTATCTTTGGCCTGGTGAAGCAGCAGGACACAATCACATTTTATGGCGTGTGGCTTGGTTTTATCAGAAAGTCCGACAGCAAGTTTTACTGGATTGACAACACTCCACTGAAGGGTCATTATTCTCCGTGGGGAAGTGGCGAGCCGAACAATGCGAATAACAACGAGTACTGTAGCAGCATGTTCGGAAAAGGAGGTAGAGCGGGAAAGTGGAACGACTTATGGTGCTCCCTGAAAGAGAGCCAGCTGAAGGACGCCCCAAGTATTCTGTGCCAGAAGAAGGCCAACTGAACTAACGGTGCTGCTATTTTTTCGATTTTACCGCAGAACTATATTAAAATCAAACTGTTTTGGCCGGGTTATAAGGTGTTTCGCTTATAGTACAGTAGTTATTGTCAGACAAGTCATCCTGTTGATTCCAATCGTTTTATCTTTTCGGTTGAGCTGCTGTGTGATTTGATGGCAGTAAAATAAAAGTGATGCATGGTTGCAATTGTCAAACCTTGCGATTATATATGTTCCTATTTAAAATTCCGTACCCGTATAAATTTTGGCTTTGGAAGATCACTAAGTATTTGTAATGCGGTTTTGTATAGGGGTAAACAATTAGAACAAAATCAAATATTTTAGAAAGATGACGAAAATCGATATTCCATAGAGCTAGTTTCGGGAACAAAACAAAAATGTAAAACATATACCACTAAAGATATACAACAACTAGGCAAATTAGAAAAGATATTCCCTGCAACAAGTATTGGTCAGTAAGCTGCAATCTGAACATCCTGCAGAAGTAGGACAATATATTCAAGAGGAAAATTGTGGTTAAAAGTTGTGGTTAAAAGTTGTGGTTAAAAGTTTATTTATTCAGTCATGAGCTTCGCTATACCAGGCTCGAGGTCAGCAATGACCGAA